ACATAGTACATGTATATCTTCTGACGCCACAGTATACTGTAAGTAGATGACAAAGTTTGAATTTGCATGGTATTTCTGTAAGGCATTTCTCCGTTGTTTTTGTAGTTTCCATTCACCACTAGAAGCTTACGTAAAAATGATGACTTCGGCTTCTGAAAAACCCCATGTGAAAAGGGTCCAGTATGTCACAATATTTCAAATGTAATGAAATTTCTCCAATGAGAGCAACAAACACCATTTTTAGTCATTTTAATTAATTTGTTTTCGGAGCTATTTACTATTTAGGCCAGGAATTCCCATTAAACTTTTTGGGCAGTCAAACCCATTTTTGACAAACTATTTACTTGAAGTACCCTCTGACATTTTAAGATGTCAGTTAATGGTCACAATACATGCAGGTAAACATAACATTTCTTTATTAAATGTTTTTTTGATTAACATTTTGTTAAAAAAACAAAACAAGTTTAGACTATTTCCATAATGTAGAACAGCAGAGCAAAAAAAACATGGAGGCAAAAAAAAAGCACACTACCCACTGTCCATAAACATGATTGATTGTCCCGCACAATGCGCAGGCCTGAACCCTACTAAACTCCTTTGGGACATACCTGTCAACCCTCCCGTTTTTCCCGGGATTCTCCCATATTTTACCATTCTATCACACTATAATCCTGTTTAAATATTTTCCCATATTTTCCCGTATTTCTCCCGTATTTTTAATGTTTCTATAAAAAAACCCACTGGACGTATTTTATATGTTTGCTACATTCGCCTCTGGTAAAACTCCTGTGATTTGTATGGCCCAAACCTCATTATATGAATAATCACGTCAACAAATTCCAAGGTTGCCCAGTTGCCAGATCTTGTATGAAACGCTTCCTTTTCATACAATCGACACATACAAATTTCAACCCATTTGTCCCCTCAACTTGGCAACCTACAACAGTGATGAGTACCGCGGGAAGGAAAGGAAAGGAAAGGATCACCCCCCCTCCCCCTTCTCCCTTCTCCCATATTTTGGGACCCAAATGTTGACAAGTATGCTTTGGGATGAATTGGATTTGCTGTGAGCCAGACCCCATATGCCCAACATCAGTCCCTGACCTTACTGATGCTCGAGTCTAAACTGGAACAAATCCCAGGAGTCATGTTCCATCATCCAGTGGAAAACCTTCCAGAAGAGTGTAAGATGAAGGAAGTTCAACTCCTCAAGGAGCCCATGGTTTTGAAATCAACAAGCACATATGGGGATGTTGTTTGAGTGCCCACATAGTTGTAACCATAGATCTACGGCAAAAACACTTTATAGTTGTGGAGATCCACTGAGCACATTCCTAAATTTATTTATATATTTAAAAAAAATCTATCTGGTGCCAGATCACTCTGCGTCCTCAGCACATGATTCAGTTTCACAGATAGCTTAGAGATGTCTAAATATGGGGCTGCAAACCACAACGGGCTCATCAGATGCTTGATTTGCTTCATCATCATCAGCTGAGAGACGCAACGCCATTAGCATCTCGCCTAAATGAACTGTCATGCAGATGACGGCAACAAAGACACCAGATGCTCTGAAGCTTCACACAGTTAGACTTGGATTAGTACACTGCAAAGTAGTCTGCTGCCTTTCAATAATACATATGAAAATAATACATATCTAAAATTTTAAAAAACATCTGGTCTACAATGATCATCAGTAAGTAGCCCAAGTAAAAAGAAAATAATTAATGCACAATGATCAATGTGACTACATAAATTACAAAATAACTGTACTTTTTAGTGTAAAATGCCATATTTGCTAAATGAATGCATCCTTGTCTATACCATTACATATTTAATGCATATAACAAAACATAAGTAGATAAAAATGAATGCATATAAAGAAATGCCTACATAAATGCATTATAGATAAAGAAATGCATAAATAAATGAATATATATAAATGCATATAGATAAATAGATGCCTAAATAAATTGATATAGATAAAGAAATGCATATAGTTAGATAAATGCATAAATAAATGTGTATACATAAATAAATGCATAATAAATGCATATAAATGAATGTGTAAATAATTGCATATAGATAAATAAATGCATAAAAACCTAAAACAAAAAAGTATTAAATGAATTATCACTCTTACATTGCATGAATGACTAATAATAATAATGATAATAATAATATACTTACAACTGGTTAAGTGCTGTCTCAGTTTTCTAATCAAAGATGATTTGGAAAACGTCCGCGGTTGGGTGACCTGTGCAGGGGCCTCAGGTCCAGACGTTTCTTCCCGTGTGTCTTCCATGTTCAGCTTGCGTTTTTGCAAAGAGAACCTGGCTAGAAAGAAATAAACTGGCCTTCAATCAGATCAGGGGTTATGACCAAGTACACTTAACCTCTGTTGCATAGAAACCTCTCTACAAACCGTTCCACGGCGAGAACATATCATTCGAAATTCAGAGCGCCAGCGGTATGTCATGTGGGTCAGATTTTATTGTTTGACAACAAGTGCACCATGGGTAGTGCAATTTACATAAAACCAAGCACTGTTGGAAAGTTTACAGTGATCTTCAAATATCAGTAGGATTATGGACTTGCTATTTTAGGGGGCATTTGTAATGTCGGGATAACCCATGGGCTCTCCTGTGGCCCTCTTAGTGGCCAGCTGCATATCTGTGGTGCATAAAGTTTAAAATGATGAGGGACATTACCATCTTCTCATCAGGGTCATTCATCAAGTGGAAACCGCATGAAATGTAATGCCTACGATGATGATCCATCTTTTACCAAAAATTGAGATTGATCAGTTCTGAATGCTTTAGAACGCTTTTATATTTAGCAGCCAGGTAAACAGACAGATATAACTATATAGACTGACAAAAATGTAATATTATTGCATATAAAGTTGATATAAAAGTATAATCTGCACACATGCAGATATACATTAAGATATTATAAACATTAACATTTTCTGTAAAGCTGCTCTGAAATGTGAAAAGTGCGCTACACAAATAAATCTCACTTGACATGTATAAATATTATTTAATCTATATAATCCTCTCTTTTGGCACCTGGCTTACCCTGTCTGGTTTATATGGCACTTATTCAACATTTAAAATTAGATATGTCTCACATTGCATGCTTTTAAAGTCCTAAACCTTTTTTTTTTTACCCCAGCAAAAGCTGCTGTAAGCACTGCAGTAAGTCTGTGGCTTTATTACAGTACTACGATTTCATGATCTGACTCCTAATGACCGCAGCATATGCGGTCAAAACTCTGCCTGTCTTGCATGAATTAACGCAGTCAAGATCAGCACATTTCTCTACACTTAAAGAGCCTTTGGTCCCGGATTAGATTTAGACAACTAATGGAGGATACTCCCTTGGTGATTTTGCAGATGGAACATAGTTAATTATGGCCACCAATGAAATTCAACCATCTCTTTAGCTAAACCAAGGACAAGGCAGTGGTCTCAATGCACTGGCCCAGAAAATGCATTCAGACTCAAATCGAAGTGAACTTGATCGTATTACACATGGTTTAGCAGCACAGGGACAGACTAGAAAATTCACAGGCCCAAGTGATGAACCCAGAACGCCAAGAGATGAAATGCCAGAGAGTTATCATGTGCAGAGAGACCATTAACACAAACTGTGGAATAAAAATTAAAATCAGATAGCAACTAAAGACTCGTGAGTGATAATAAACCAATATTTCTAAAGAAAACTAAAAACTCAATTAACATTATAAATATAAAACAGATAACAGTTTAACCTAAAATATTGATGTTAATGAATTAACCTAATATTGCACAAAAAAGAGAAACAATCTGAAGTATATTACAAGCGAGAAATGAAAGTTCAATAAATATATAAGGCATTTTCTTTTATGATCTATCTTGCTCAGCGGTTTTCAAATTCACAGACCCTCAGTCCACAACAGGCACTATTTAAGAATTTGAAGATAGATAGATAGATAGATAGATAGATAGATAGATAGATAGATAGATAGATAGATAGATAGATAGATAGATAGATAGATATCTTTAAACATTTAAATACATTTCAGAGTTATTTAAAACCATTTAGGCTTTCTAACAGTTACAATATAAAAGTCAGTTATTTAATTTTGGAAATAACATGTTAAAGTATCACACTCAGTATAATTGGGTTTTCATCAATTAAAATATTACTTTACAATTTATGAAGCACAAAAGGATCATTTTATTCCAAAAACCTTCAAAACACTTGCTCTAGCTAACACATTAACCAAGACCTTCAAGTAGGCTATGGCCTGAAGAAGCATTTTTTTGTAAAGATTAACTATATTAAATGCAATCAATATAGATATTATATGCGTTTACTTCAGCAGGGTCCATCAAACATTGAGTTTGCATTAGAACATGCCTACATCTATGATCAGATGTGTAAACAGTTCATGTTGTGTCTTATGTGTTAGCTATGAATAGAACAATCCCACTAGATGGAGCTAAAAGCATTGCCTTTAAAACATTCTCGAGTTACAATTGTTGCATTCACACACATAAAATAAAAATACATGGAAAAGGATAGAACTATAGATTGTACTAATCCCATTGCCTTATGAACAAACAACGATGCGCTAATTCAATAATAAGAATAAAATACGGTCCTTTTTAATTATATTTTTAAAAAATAACGGCTATTATTCCAATACAATTACATATTTGCCAAAATACTGCTAATTTGTGTGAACATCCGTCTTTGTTGCAATTTTAAAAAGCGTATGTGCACAAAAAGTCATAATACTTCCCTGCTAATTGTTGTGATGCGCTGTCATCGCCTTCCGCGACGCCCCTCCCACTATTCCGCCATTGGCTACTTTGTACTGAAAACAGCGCAGACTTTCAGGTTGGAACGTTCCTATTGGCTACAATTTATATTTGCATAAATTCTCATTGCGTGATTGGCCAACGGCACGTCAATCAACCCGTTCCTCTGCTTTTGGATATTACCTCAGGAGACTCCACAGTTTTTCATCAGTGAGGACTGGAATGTGAACAAAGTAACACAACCAGACAAGAGCCAACCAGACAATAGGTGAACAAAACTATGATTCCTCCCCTAATTCCGAAACTGCACAACGTCGGGATTTCTCACTAGCGCCCAGAACACTGTAAGTATGCCATGTCTTTCTAAAAATAGTCTTGTATTAGAGCAAAAAACAACAAGCTTTAGATGAATAACACTCTAACCAACATCTGCACTGTTCTTCCTGTTTTTGGCAGAGCTGGAAAAGCCAATACACTCATTCAGGATTAGATGTGAGCTGGATAGGGATTTGTGACTACCTCAGAAGGAGAAATGGGTGTAAATCGGAAAATAATGATCGCTTACAGGGAGAGCAGCGTCTTTACGTGTCTCTAATCGCCAGGAGTTTGTCAGGCTTTCTTCTGCATCTCAATACACTGAGTTACGACTCTCCGCTAACAGCGTTAGCTCCTCTCATTCACAGTGTCGTTACTGAGCGGTTGGCATAAACATAAACGCAGCTTAATCTGTCATTTTTGAGATGTTACTGTGGTTATTTTGATCTTACTATTACATTAGTAATAGTAAAAAAATACTGGTAAAAAATGTATAGCCTGAATGCACTGTAAGTCACTTTGGATAAAAGCGCCTGCTAAATGCATACATTATTATTAATTATTATACGTTATACCTCAGTGTAAGTTATCCATTTAATCAGGTGTCTCTTTACATTGTTTGGCGCACTAGCGAGCTGGCTAACTATAGCTTTAGTTGGTGCGCATTTCTGAAGTCTCGTGGCGCAGAAAATAGTCGCCGTTTACTACGAACTTGCCAATCTTATTGCTTATCTGCTTTTTAATTCCATATTGGCTACACTTGTTAACGTACAACCACTTTTCATAGTGTATTGAGGCGAGGGGTTAACTGAGGGAACGACGGACAGAATATTGTGTATTTTTTGCTTGTTTCCCACCCAAGCCCGAACCACAGAACACCTGCTCCTAGAGAACATTTTTACAATAAAAAATGTGTTTATACTATATAAAAGTCAGGACATTGCGCTTGAATGTATCATCTATGGCCTCAGGGTTCAAGTACAATTTGAAGTTCATTTCAGTTATTTCTGCATTGGTCACAGTTGAAGTACTAAGCAAACGCCTGTCTAACCGCATATTGGCTGCTGCTTACTTTTGCAAAGGTTTCATGACACTAATATTACAATTATATTTGCCTTAATTACTCACCTGGTACGTTAGACTACCAATGGTTCTACATTTTGTTCCTGTAACATTTTGGATGTTTAACACCTGATTCAACTCGTCAGCTCATTTTTAGAGGTTCCATGTCCTTAAATGGGTGTCAAATAAGGGAGATATCCAGATGTGCAGTTCTGGGCGTCCTTGCAGGGTTAAAAAAAATGCTACTTTATGTTGTAATAATAAATAAGGAACTAAACGTAGGAAAGCTTAACATGCTTTCACTAAAGGTTTTTTTTTTTTCCATTTCAGCCAAAATGGCCAGTTTGGCCACACTACTATAACTTTCTGTAACAATGGCAGCGAGTACTGTCTGTAGCAACTATTCAGTGAAGTGTTCAGCAATGATATTTTAAATGAATATAGCATTCCTTAAAGGGGTCATATGATGCCATTTAAATGTTTCCTTTCTCTTTGGAGTGTTACAAGCTCTTGGTGCATAAAGAAGATCTGTAAAGTTGCAAAGACTAAAGTCTCAAATCCAAAGAGATATTCTTTATAAAAGTTCATAGTCAACCACGCCTACCTAAAACGGCTCGTTCTAACACGCCCCCACATGTCTACATCACGATGTGGGAAGATCTGCATAACGCCGCCCAAATGTTCACACAAAGAAAGAAAGCGTAACTTTTATTCTCGCTGTAGTATTGTTGTTGCTGCCGCTGCCATGTCGTGAAAGCGCTGTGTGTTTCGTTGTGAAAGCGAAACTACTTTGTTTGGCCTTCCAAAAGAGGACGATATCCGCTTCGTCATGCCTAGAGCTGATCTGTGCTGGTCGCTGAGGGAATACATCAACTT